AGGGATGGCGCGGTGTGCGGTGTCCCGGGCAAGGCGTGCCCGCGGCCCTGCCGCGCTGCAAAACCAGGCGACTCACCTCCCGTGCCCCTGAGATTTATCGCTGTGCAGATAACTTTTTCTTAGCTAACCTCGTCTAAGCATTCGTCTAACCGAGGGCGGTTTGCAGCTTCACAGAATCAATCGGGTTGGAAAAGAGCTCTGAGACCATCCGAGTCCAACCTATGATCTAACGCCATGTCAGCTAGACCGTGGCACAGAGTGCCACGTGCAGGGAGGTGTTCAGTTAAATCCTTTGGGCTAATCTCCTACTAGTATGTTAACTCAGTAAGATCCCATTATACTTTACAGCTAGGAATAATTCCATTGATTTTTACGCATATGTTTCTCCAGGTCTGGCTGTTAAAAAAATAAAACTACAGGACTGTGGTAAAGCTTCAGAAAGACCTGTTTGTTTTGTGTACCCTTTACAGCCCTGGACGGTTGTGCCTGACTTTACACACCATGCCCACACTGCCTCGTTGTCAGCAGTAGCGGTGAACAACAGGTATGTGGTTACTGGGAGCAGAGATGAGACGATCCAGATCTATGACATGAAGAAGAAGATAGAACATGGGGCACTGCTGCAGCACAATGGTAAGGAAACATTTTCATTTCCTTGTAAAAAGCAGCAGTGATACGAAACTGTAACTGAAAAACTGGCCCTTGCCAAAAGAAGAAAATGGATTGATTTGTTTGTTTGGGTGGCTGTTTGTTTGGTGTTTTTCTTAATATGGCTTAAATAGTGATGAGGCTGCAGCCATGATGATACGAGCAATGTAAGATTTTGAGCATAAAAATCCCCAAGTTCTTGTGGTTGTTAGCCCACAAATGCAGCTGCTGCTTCCAACCGTTTTTGGTTTTGTTTGAGAAGTTGTGACCCACAAATGGCTTGTGTGCCATTTTTCTTCTAGCAGGACAGTTTGTCTAGACTGTGGCTACTTCCAATCAACCATCTTTCCCAGTGTCCTTGTCCTGCCACGTGTGTGAGCCACACAGAAGAGAGTGTGTGTGTGTGAGAGAGACTGCGGCTGCCAGATGAGCTAATTTACATATCCCACCGTTTGTGCTGCCTGAATTACAACTGCAAAGTACATCATAGAATCATACCACAGTTTGGATTGGTTGGGACCTTTTGAAGGTCATTTTGTCCAACCTCCCTCCAGTGAGTAGGGACATATTCAACCAGATCAGGTTACTGAGAGCCCTGTCCAACTTGGCCTTGAATGTTTCGAGGAATGAGACATCCACCAGCTCTCTAGACAACTTCTTCCAGTGTATCCCTCCCCCTATAGTAAAAAACGTCTTCCTTAGATCTAATCTAAATCCACTCTCTTTTAATTTAAACCCATTGCCCCTCGTTCTATTGCAACAGGCCCTGCTACAAGGTTTGACCCCCTCTTTCTGATAGATCCCCTTCAAGTACTGGAAGGTCACAGTAAGGTCTCCCTGCAGCCTTCTGTTCTCCCGGCTGAACAATCCCTGTTCTCTCAGCATGTCCTCACAGGGGAGGGGTTCCATCCCTCTAATGATCTTCGTGGCCCTCCTCTGGACTTGCTCCAACAGGTGCACATCCTTTTTACGTTGGCAGCCCCGAGCTGGATGTAGTACTACTCTAGGTGGAGTCTCAGCAGAGGAGCAGAATTGCCTCCCTTGACCTTCTGGTCATGCTACTTTTGATGCAGCCCAGGATATTTTTGACTTTCTGGGCTGCAAGCACACATTGACATGGCATGTCCAGCCTCTTATCCACCAGAATCCCCCAGTCCTTCTTGGCAGAGCTGCTCTCGATCTGTCCATCTCCCAGCCTGTATTCATACTGGCTTCCAGTGTACTTTGTGGAACCTCATGAGGTTTCCATGGGCCTGCTTCTCCAGCTTGTCCAGGTCCCTCTGGATGGCATCCTATGTAGCACCTCTCAGTTTGGTGTCATCAGCAAACTTGCTGGGGGTGCATCCTTTGTCTGTATCATTGGTACAATCATCAGTTAATGGCTGTCCAAATAAACCTGATTGGATCATTTGTAACTCAGTCCTGATTAACCAGGAAGTACCTGGGGCTGGACTGAGCATGTTACCTGAATTTTACTCCTGTATGATAAATCTGCTGCTTATGAGAAGCAGCATGTGCAGTAAATTCAGCTGTGTGTCAGAGCCAGAGCTTCTGATAGAAGCTCTGTGTCCCCTGGGCCATTGTGGGTGAGTCCTTCTGTGTCAGAGAACAGACCAGGATGGAGTTCAGACTTGTATGGCTATAGGGTGGCTGATAGGGCACATCAGGCATTGAATACAAGAAAGTTTGTGGGGTTTGTGAAGAAATACTTAGGAAATAATTTAGATTTTCCCTAGAGTAGGGTAGTAGTTGGCACGTTTTGATGGAAGAAGCTTTTCTATTAATTCACACATTCTTAATAGCTCTGGTTTGTATTTCTAGGCACAATAACTTGTCTGGAGTTCTATGGTACTGCACATCTACTGAGTGGGGCTGAAGATGGACTCATTTGTATCTGGAACACGAAGAGATGGGAATGTCTGAAATCCATTAAGGCACATAAGTGAGTTTCTTAAATCTGCGTATTCATGTACATTTTCATGTTTATTGTTCTTGTGAATAATACATGTGGCTAATGTTTTGTTTTTATCAGGGGCCATGTGACATCTCTTTCTATTCATCCTTCTGGGAAGTTAGCTTTGTCAGTCGGAACAGATAAAACGTTAAGGTGAGTCAAAACCGATGAAGGAATGCTGAGAATCATAATTCAGTGACTCTTAGTAAATTGTTATAAGCTACAATTTTGAACTGGGATCATGTAACACTGATGAAACACATTTGTCATCAAATGGTTCAAAGATCCATTGGTCTGTCTTTTGAAGTTCTAAGTACCAGCAATATTTTAAAGTCTTTTAAGAATAGTCGCTGCTGCTCATACCTTCGTCCTGTGAACTCTTGACTCTTTAAAAGTCACCTGTAGATGTATAAATATATTTGCATTTTGGAACACAATTTGCTTAAACTTCTGAAAACTGTCAGGTTTTGTTTAGTGTGAGAGAAGTAATTTTTCACTTGGAGTATGTCCATGTTGCTGTGGATACCTATTTCAAAGATATAAAATGCTGTCTCATCGCATAAGTTGTTTTGGGGTTCCTTCTGGGCTCTGCGTTGCAAATGGGGGGTTAGAAAATAACACAAGTTCAACTTTGTAGTGTGCAAGTGATATTTGAGGTCATAATTTTCTCTTGCATTAGGAAGGCAGAAAAATGCATAGAGATGCTTAAAAGCTTCCTTTGGGTGCCTCCTGTCAGCAGATCAGACTTCAGCTTTGCTGTGCTGTTTTTAACCAGAATGGACATTATCTCTTGTTGTCTTTCAGAACTTGGAATCTTGTTGAAGGACGATCAGCCTTTATCAAAAACCTGAAGCAGAGTGAGTTTGTCAGTCTAAATCCACTAAAAAAAGAAGTGGAATTGGATAGCTTTTGTGTAGAGAAAACTTTACTGAATTAATCAACAAGTTAGTTAATTGCAAACAACTTTCACAATCTCTTTTTTACACATGCAGGCAAGCCTATGTAAGCTTATCTCCTTAGTAATAATCATTTACCAAAAGGAAAACACAGTATCACTAAAGTAAATCCTTTATTTTCCCTTGAAATTTGATGTCAGGACAGTTAAATAAATGTGTTTTGGTTTAGGTTTTTTTATACAATTCTGATAATCAGAGATAAACATGTAAGAGCATAGTTTTACTTGTTTATTCTAGGTAATCTGGTTTTTCAATGAATATTTTCTCAGGTCTAGGTAGAAAACAGTGTCTAGAAGCTTCTAAAGATTCTTATTTTTAGATTCTCATGCAATATAGAGTGCAAAAAACCTGTGCCTGTTTGTATACAACTTTATCAATGTGTACAGATGCCCACATAATTAAATGGTCCCCTGATGGGGAGAGGTATGTGACCGTGATAACAAACAAAGTGGATATCTACAGACTGGACACAGCTTCAATCACTGGGACCATTACAACAGAGAAGAGAATTTCTTCACTTAGATTTCTTACAGTAAGTATAATAAAGAAAGGTGTTGGGAAATTACCTGGTTGGAAACACATGAAATTAATCCCACTTGCATTTCTTTCTTCCCCATCCCAAGGATTCTATCCTTGCCATAGCTGGAGATGATGAAATCGTAAGGTTCTACAGCTGTGACTCTCAAAAATGCCTGTGTGAATTTAAAGCTCATGAAAATAGGTATTCTATATTTGTTTACTATTTAAATATTTATGGCAATGCTGAGTTCTCAGTAAAATCCAATGTAATGTTCAGCATACTTTACTATTTTTTTGCTTTAGTATAGAAAGTGCATTTATTTATGTGCTAAATTCCAAATTTGAGGCAAACTTGTTTGCTTTTAGTATGAGCACAAGTACTGTGCTGTCCATGCATGTTACAAAAACAAGGTATGGAATTAGAAATATTACAGCTCTGAATCTATGAGTGAGTGTGTGTGTATTTAACCAGTCTTCACTGATTCTGACTCTTCAGAATGCTTTAAAAACAAGCCAGTTTTATTCAGTGCAGACAATAGGAGGGTAATCACATATTTGTCCAAATGTTGCTTTTAATTCATCAAAACACAAAAGCATTAGCTGTAATGTCATTAGTGTGTCTAATGGTCTATGCTTTAAAGTATTAAAGCATTCTGAATTAAATCATAGCAAGCCTAGCAGAGGCAAGTGTTCCTACTATAAATGACAGCACTCAAACCAGATTACTGTTCCAAGTTCGTGCCTGTCACTTATGGGTTTTCTGTTCAAACTGAGTTTTTTAGACTGTTACCTAATCATCTGTAATCTCTGTCAGCTCACTGTTCTGAAGTGAACTGCCATGCTATAAAATAAAAACTTATTGCTTTTCTTTTCACAGAATAAAAGATATTTATAGCTTCGAAAGAGGAGGACAGCATGTTATTGTTACTGCATCCAGTGATGGTTACATTAAGATGTGGAATCTGGATCTTAATAAGGTTGGTCTGTTAAACTGACTGTTACATCTACAATAAATATCAGACAACCAAAATTGCAGGTGGTTCTGTTATAAAGGTTAATTTCAAATCACTGAGAAAATGTTACTTGAAATCTGAATGTCTTGATCTTCCTCCACATTATGTTCAGTAGATGTGTATGTTTATGCAGGTATATTATGTACTTGTGTATTTTTTTTAATTTTTTTAATGTAATGCCTAGTAATGAAGGATCTGCTGTATTTCACTGTCTTGGATAGTTCAAATAATTATTTCTCAATATTTGTACACTTAATATCTGAATTTGCCCATTTTTAATTTCACCCCCTGATTATTTTCATATTTCCAAGTGCAGTAGTGAAATCCCTCTTTTCAGCTCAAATTTCTGTTCCCCTTATACATAATTGACATAGAGATCAGGGAACTCTACCTTTCTCTGTAACACTGTGTTTATTTTGACCAAACACGTGATTTACTTTCTGTGCAGGCAGAGTTTTGTAGAATTTTGTATAAATGTGTGTGGTGCTCTGTCCAGCTCTGTGAGGTAGAATATTCTAATACAGTGGTTTCTGATGTGTTAGACTGCACATATGTTTGTGACACATTATCCCTTGATATCTGTAATAGGATATTTGCTCAAGTATTCCCCAAGCTAACTGATACAATTGCCTAACAATGAAGTTAAAGGCAGGCATAAAGATACTTTCTCACTTCAAATACTTTAAATAATCTTTTTTTTTTATATTATCTTCAGATTGAAGATGTGCCATCTTTGCTGTGTGAAGTCAATACCCAAGCAAGGCTGACATGTCTTGCAGTGTGGCTTGACCAAGCTTCAGAGATGAAAGAAAACTCTGATAAAGCTGCAACAACCTCTCAAGGTAACAGAACTGTGTGTATTTTCTATTGTCAGTGTGACTGTGAAATGGAACATACTAAGAGAGAGGTTTCTGCTCTATCCATTGGTAAAAGTTCTGCTGTTGTGAAGAACTGGGGAGATAACGCTGGTGCATGATACAGATATCAATTTGATAGTGTCTCAAGCCTGCTTGTATGAGGACATAAGCCTCTTTTAACTTCTGTTAAAGTTTTCTTGCTCTTTACTGGAAGAACATACTGAGGAAGCCACTGTGAAGCTTCTGAGACAAATAAGAAAATAATAAAAGAGTTTGCTAGAACTGCGCATCTTGTTTTCCTATAAATGAAATTAGGTCTGAGGCCATTGTGGTTCGGCAGACTTAGGAAGTCTGGCTCAGATTTGTTTGGGTTTTTTGCTGTTGTTTACCTGTATCGTAATCTATTTACATATTTGATCTTTAGATATTTTAATTTCACAGGCAAAACTAGCATAAATGGCACTTTGCACTGTAAAAATCCAATTTATAACCTCTGTTTAGATACAAATAAGTCTATGTCATTTAGACTACAAAGACTGGACATGAATATCAGTGTGATTTCTTTTTTCTTTTTCAGCAAACGAAGATGAAAAATCGACAGTCAGGAAAAACTTGTTGGAGCTTGTTGGGCCAATAAAAGTAATAAAAAGTAATAAAACAGAAAAAAAAAAGAGAAAAATTACTCCAGAGAAACAAAACTCACAAGCTCTGTTGCAAAAGAAGAAAAAGAAACGGAATAGCTCAGCATGAAGGCAGCTACTTTCATTTCCTGAAAAAGAAGTTAATGCTGGTCTTGCTCTAGTTTTTATAAGAATGTAAATCTCTAACAGGACATACACCTCTGAACTGATCTGTTGTTTAAAAGTAATTCATGTTTGTACCTAAATAAATTTGACTGATTATTCTGGGAAGTAACAAAAGAAATGGCAATAAATAAATAAATTCATAATATGTAATGTTTATGTTTTTCTGTTAACAATAGAGTATGCTTTAACTGGCTCTGAAAAAGCCAGCTAAAATAATAAAAATAGCTGCATCTGTCTCAGTTACATTTTTGTATCACTCAAATACATATTAGAAACACATACCCTTTTTCATTTTAGTGTCAAAGAAGTTACTGTTCATTTACTCAAAATAAGATCTTTCACCTACATTACTTCTCCTACTGTAAGAACATGTTAAAATGACTTAAAATACAATGATCACATTCCATTCATACATTCACAGAAAACTGTATTTTGTAGTTCTGGACATATATATTCTGTTATAAACTGCAGGTATAAGCAAAATATTTGGCTTTTTTTATTGTGTCCATACTTCATGTATCTAAGTTTTTTTTATAGTCTTTTCACCCATGGTTCACACAATTGAAACCTGTTGCTCAGAATATGATACGTACTTTTAGGTGGAAGTTTATATCAGTAAGGTTTCACCTTTTATTCCCCCTTCCCATTGTATTTTTTCAAGTCATTGCTCTGAGCTGTATTGTTAGAAAATAATTATCTACCATTTGAAATGTTTGCCATGGTGATAAAATGTCACCTATCTGTTTTGTTTGCACTTACACAAAAGGTCAATTCCTGACCTTCTCAGTCAGTGGGAGCAGGATTTTATCCTAAGCCTTATTACAAACATACAGTGGGAAAACCAAAGTTGAGCTGGAGAGAACAAGGTCAAATAGCTGTATTAAATGTTCCCTTTCTTTATTGCAAAGTGTAAGGCACGGCAATGTTGTTTTCTGCACTACCAGAGTAGTCAGCATTTCTTCTATTTTCAAAGAGTAATTGGAATTGTGCTCTATTCTGATTCACTTCAATGATAATCTGTTCCTTCTTATTTGTGTAGCAAGAGAAAATGTAGAGAAAATCAGAAAAAAAAGATTAAGCCAAATGTGGAGACAGGAATGCAAGCAGTTTTAGGGGTGTAAGAGAACTGTGTAAAGTGTTTTCACTTGTAAGGGGTTAAGTCTATGTGATAGTGCTTATCTTGTGTCCTCGGCAAAACCACAAAACCGGGTTTTGTCTGAAGTTTTAAGTACATGAGCTCGTGGCCACAGACATCACAAGCTCACGTAAGCACCAGGACAAATCCAGTCTGCACATAATTTTAAGAATTAAAAAGCAAAACTTCCACAGAATTTTGGTTCTAAAGTTCAGACTAACAAGTAAATATTAGGCATTTGTAAAAATCCAGACTCCCTGTGTAGTAACAGAGAATTATGCATCTCATGAGACTCAGAACAATTTGTGAACTGAAGACAGAGAAGACAAGTCCTAACAGCTTTTAAGGTGAAATACAGAACCAGTCCTTAGGGGAGAAAGTTGTATTTTCTATCCCTTGAGTAAATGCTCTGGTACTAACCAGTACTTGGCAATTTTTGTTGTTGTTTGCTTGTGTACATCTTCCTCCTCAGCACATTTTCCATTCTAGTTTTCAGGGAGCTCCTCAGAGTGACAGAGGGGAGGCAGCGGTGCAGAGGGAGGGGAGATGTCAGCGCTGGGAAAGCTGTCCCTGTCAGAGAGGTTTGCGTGACACTGGTAGAGTAGTTGGAGCCGTAGCTGCAATTAACAACAGCCTGTGAGAAACGAGCGCTTACAAATATGTTTTAGAAGAAAATTAAATCATTGAAGCAAAAAGGAGCTTGCTTTTTTTGCAATACGGGTCAGCTGAGCCCACTGCCCCTTGAGAAGGAGAGCACAGCCTGCCACAAAAAACAGAACCTTTTATAGCCTGTCCCAACCGCGACCCCTCGTGCCGTTTCCCCATGGGTTGGTACTTGGGACTCACATTCTTCCTGCCTGCCTAATTTGCACCACTTTTCCCCTCTCAACACCACCCAACACAACAGAAAAAAACCCAAAACCAAACCACTCCAAGTTACCACTCCTAATTTGCACCACTTTTCCCCTCTCAGCCCCTGCCCCCACACTAAAGAGATTCCACTGACACCACCACCCAACACAACAGAAAAAAAACAAAACCAAACCACTCCAAGTTACCAACCCCTTGTTTTTATCTCTTCACTAACATTCAAGAAACAAAACTACGTGCAATAGCTATGACTGGACTGCACAGTTTTCCACACTGGCTGAAGCAAAGCTTCATATCCCACAAGCCTAGCAAGGTACATCTCAGCTGAGCCCCAAAGAGTTCAATAGCTCCAGCCGCTGTGGATTTCTTCCAGTTTTCCTGCTTCCTTTCCTGTGCTGGATGACAAAGCAGAGCCCAGTGAAACTTGAACCTCAGAGCTATCACACAGCTTGAATTGAAAAGGGAACCCCATCCACTATAGCTTAGATGTGTGTTGCTTGTGGCACTTTCCAGGGAGAGAGATGTCTATTTAAACCACTTAGGCCAACAAGGGAATTAAACTGCTCCCTGCTTGCTGACCATTAGGCTAACTCATAAAGATGGGAAAACCTGAAATGCAGCTACAGAAAGATGCATTTTGCAGAAAGTACAGGCCTCTCATGTTTCGTGCCTTCTGTTTCAAAGAGGAAGTATGAGTCCAGTAGGATCTCAGTCTCCCCCAGCATGGCCCCAGTCACTCCCAGTTTGCCCCAGTGTAGACCCAGTAACTCCCAGTTAGACACAGTGCTCCCAGCATGGTCCTAGGGGCTCCCACTCACCTCCATTATGATTCCAGTCACCTCCAGGATGATTTCAGTCGCTCCCAGCCACTCCCAATAGGAGCCCAGTTGCCCTCAGCATAGGCCCAGTTGCATCCAGTTACACCCAGAATGTATTCAGTCATGCCCAATTGCTTCCAGCAGGATTCCACCTTCTCCCAGTCACTCCCAGTCACCCTCAGTGTAGTCCCAGTATGATCCCGATATGATTCCAGTCACCTCCAGCAGGAGCCCAGTGGCTCCCAGTATATCCCAGTTACCTCCAGCCTGTTTCCCAGTCCCCTCCAGGATGATTTCAGTTGCTCCCAGCCACTCCCAATAGGAGCCCAGTTGCCCTCAGCATAGGCCCAGTTGCATCCAGTTACACCCAGAATGTATTCAGTCATGCCCAATTGCTTCCAGCAGGATTCCACCTTCTCCCAGTCACTCCCAGTCACCCTCAGTGTAGTCCCAGTATGATCCCGATATGATTCCAGTCACCTCCAGCAGGAGCCCAGTGGCTCCCAGTATATCCCAGTTACCTCCAGCCTGTTCCTAATCATTCCCAGTATGATCCCAGTCACCCTCTGAGTCGTTCCAGTTGCAACTAGGACCACACTGAGGGTTACTGCAAGAAACTGGATGTTGCTGGAAGTGTCTTGGAGCAACTGTGAGTGACTGGGAGCATGCTGGCAGCTCCTTGGCACAGTCAGCATGTGACTGGGAGTGGCTGTGAGCAAATGAAATCCTGGTGAATGAACTGGAAGTAACCATGAGTAACTAACTGGGCCTAAGCTGGTGGCAAGTGGAATCCTCTAGGCAGTATCTGGAATTGATTCCAGGAAAACCTGCCATAATAAAACTCAATAGCTGGTTCAACTTTTTTTTTATATGCGTGTGGGGGGGGGGGGGGATCACTCTTCCTAACACGCACACCAACTACCCAGACTTACTACTATTTATAAATTTCAGAAAACAAAGAAATTAGTGCTCATTGACCACAAGTTACCTGACTCTTATTAGTTAGTAATCTATCCTCTATTGGTTAGTGATTTTCTTGCTTCTTATCCTAATTAGTCCACTTTTGAGTTGGTGGGCTTCTTGGGGGTCTTCCATGGGGGTTTTGGTCTTCCATGGGTCTCTGGTGGTCCCTTGTGGTTGTTGAAAAGATGTCCATTAGTGTCCTTTCCATGAACTTTGAGTCTTCCTTCCATATATGGTCTTGGCTTAGCTTGTTATCTCGTTTGCAATTATAAATTTCCTTATCTTGGTCTTGGTTGACTTCTGCTGGCTCCTCTGCACTGCTCCAGGACGAGCTGGTCACAGGTACAGAATTTATGTCCTTGGGTGCATTCTTGTCTGAGGCCCCTTGCAACTACCCCCCTTTGAGACTTACTCAGACAGTTAGTCTTAGATAAGTTTCTTTCACCAATTAACACTACTCTACTAATTTTGTAACATAATGGAGAACTTTGAAAGCAACAGAACTACTTCAAAGTCATATATGACAAGAGGAGGGTGCAAATGGTACAAAGCTGTAAACAATGTAATCTGAGGCATGTTTTTCTTGTTAACCAACCCTTCCCTTATCAGCAAACATTCCTCAGAGTGACCTAAATCACACCAGCTAAGCATTGATGATCACCATCTGGATGTTGGAGGAGGGAGTCTTTGTAAACTCAGTATTTTCCCATCATCAGAATCATTCTGGTATTGACTGGGTTCATACTGGTGGTGAATGGGGTTGTACTGGGAGCAGCTAGGATCACCCTAAGAGTGATTGGGAACAGCTCAATTCTTTCTGGAAGTAACTGGAAATGACTGTCTGTATTCTGGGGTCACTGGTTGTTACTGATCTTGGAAGCTAAGTCTTTCCCCCCAGCAGATGGTGAGTAGCTGAGAAGCTGCTAGGCTGAGTGCTAATCCAGCCACTGTTTTTGTCCCAGCACATTTTTCTGTGCCAGTGCTATATTCAAGTCTGTGAAAGTTAATGTGCAGCTAAGTACTTGTAGCTGAGATGGATTGCTCAGAGCACTGTTGTTGTCTGTGTGCAGTCTACAGGCTGTCATGGGAAGGTGGATGCAAGCCCTGGGTTGGTTTTTCAGGATGGTTTGTGTGGGAGCTTGTGCAGGACGTTGTAAGGTGTCCAAGTGTGTAACAATGTGCTGGTACATGTAGCTGAGGAAACACATAGCTCCCACATGCTGTACAGTTGAAAGGCTGCAAGGACAAGGGGGCAGTGTAAAAGCTGCCTCTGTCCTGGCACATATTTCTGCACAAGACGTAGATGGGAAGTTTGGAAT